TCCGGGCCCTTCCCCCCGCACGCGAACGCGCAGCTGCGGTTCTTTGCCGGAAAGGATCCCCCTGTGGTAATTACCGCAGGAGGCCCGGCTATACATGGAAGCCCCCCGGAGGGTGGCTATACACTGCATGGCCGATAGAAAAGGCATCCCCCAGCTGACAAGCGCAAACACAGAAACTGACCGTGCAAGCATCGAGCAATAAGAATACTAAGGAGGGGGCCCAGGTATCAGCTGCGGGATGTTGTTCGGGGTAGCGAGAAAAAACATGCTGTTTCCCCCTGTCTCTCTCTCTCTCTCTCTCTGTCTGGCTCTTGCTGTTACATCTCTTTCCCCTCGCACCTCGCTTTGGAGTCGAGCTGATCCAAGATGTGCAAAATGCAGTCCTGCAGTGTCCCACAAACAACTTCAGCTGCATGGGCCCGAGGTTTAGGCTTTTGGGGTTGGGCCTTGGGGCTTTACGGCTGGGCTTCAGGCTGTAGGGGCTTTCGGATTTAGGGCTTCAAGCTTTGGGCTTTACGGTTTTCGTCTTCAGGTTTCTGGAGCGGACTTCCGGATGTGAACTCAGCGAAGTTTGCTGGCGCCCAGCAATTCAAGAACTCCTTGTCTTCGGTGCCGGCAAAGTAAGCGAGTGCCCTCGCAAAATGGACCCGAGGCAGATGCATCTCTACACCCAGGCATGTGCAAGGGCAGAGAAGACTTCCAACCGTGAGATTCATCCGGAGAGCTAAAGGCTAGCACCTCGCAGGCTTCAAACCCACCATTTCCAAGACTTGCCTTGCCTGAGCTTCAGCTCGCCACGTGAGCAAACGTCTTTGGCACCAACCAGGTACGGGGCCAATTCGCTCTCCTGTGCTGCTGCATCTTCACGGCGCACGCATCTTCAGTCAATCACTCCAAGACAGACCTACTATCAAAATCCTGGCCCCCGTTTCCTTTCCCGCAACAAAGAACCCTCCAAGGAGTCATACTTGGAGGTTCATGGGTAGTTAGAAGTGGAGTTATAACTCCCCTAACATTGGTTATAACTATAGTTACCCTACTTATAACCCTACTTATAACTACCCATGAACCTCCAAGTAGAGTTCCGAGCTCCTGCCCCACCAGGCCCACGTGGTCCCACAGCGCTCTCCAGGCATCCAGAAGGCTGACCGTCGCGCTCCCTTCGATCACCTTTTGAGAAGGCCGAAAAGGAGAGTACCGTGCTCTTCCGGACTCAGGGTGTACTGAAACCATGAGCCTTATAAAACTCAAGATGAGGTTCTTAAGCTAACCTCAAACCTCCCTTGACCTGAAGCCTTCCTTGGGGCCTGCGAGGGGTTCAAAGAGCTGTGCACATGACGAGGCACGATGCGCCCTCGAGTGTCCAGCCGAAGCTCGCCGAAGTTTTGAAGCCGCTGTGGGCCTGCACGGGTGGCATACTCCCGGTTGTCTGGACGGCAGTTTTGATAGAAACCGGATTCCATAAAAAGTGTGCAACATCTGACCTTTTTTCATCCAGGAAGAAGAAACTCAACATGACCGGGAGGTCTACAGAATCGACCTCAAAGCCCCGCCCGCCATGTGCCTGCCATCGCCCGTGGAGCGAAACAACTCCAGTGGCCCAGGCCGAACCCTGAAGGAAGACCGATTGGGTACTTAAGGTAGCTGCACGAATCCGTACCAAGAATGATAGTACTTAACAGGTAGTGTAGTCCTTATGTATTAGGATCGCAATATCTAGCAATGGAACGTCATCATAATCAGAGCGCTGCTCGCAGCAACGAAGATACAACTGAGACTGTGTGTAGGTTTCGGAGTTTGGCTTTTGACACATACGCCAGGCCGACAGCACAGAATGCCATCATGAGATGGTGGGGAAGGACGGCACAAATCGCGATGCACTGGGAACTTTGAGACGAAATCGGTAAGGCGAGGCCACGCTAAGCCGATGCGCAGGTGCACGCACAGGGTTTAAGCTTCTATTTGACATGGTTGCCGCTCTCTGCATGCACATGCAGAGACCCAAAAATCCTCCTTGTATTAATTATTACAACAGCTTCGTCCAAACACTACACAAGCCTTCGGGGCCGTTTGGCTAACCTTGCAGCAACAAGGGTGGTGCTGCATTTTGACACCCCAAGCTGAGACCAAAGTTGCATCTATCAGCCAGGGCGAGCCTATGGCAGCTGCCCTTACCAAGCCATGGCGGCTTGCCCGCATCAATCCACCACAAGATTGCTTTGACGGGTCGTGCTGACAACTGATTCGGTCTTGGATCTGTAATGCCCCCAATGGCCGAAGACCTTGCATCTCGCGAATAAAAGTCGGAGACTTCTGCTGCGTGGGGGTCTTGCAGTCGCTAGATGGCTGCAGAGGAGCCTGGAGACGATCTACACCCGGGTAACAGGTATCGTCTTCGAAGCAGCGATCCGGTCCCTCTTCAACATCTCACTCACGACATGACCTGTGCAGGGAGGCCACCTTGGAAAGGATGATGACCTGCCTTCCCTCCTCCGACAGAGCTTGGCCCACATACTGGTTCATCCTCGACAACCGGAGGCATGAAATTTTTGCACGTATGCCAGCATCGCACTAGCTCGCCAGAAAGGCAACAGAGCTCGCGCCTGGAAGCTGGGGCTCGGACAGTGCACGTGCTTGGTTCCATTGCTTCTCATTGCCTGGTGTTGTTTGGCTTCTCTTACCGCCGTGGGAATGTGCTGCATGTGGTAGCAGTAGGCACAACCAGGCTCGCCGCATTTCAGGTCGGCCCACGGCCGGCTGAGAGGAATGAAGACAAGGCCACCAACAATCGTGTACTCCTTGGCTTGCAACATCTTGCAACCCATCAGAACCAGGCAGAGTCTATGCTTTAGCTTTAGACATCACATCAACCACGTGCACATAAATCACACACCCTCAATCCTCACGTTCTCTCAACTCTCAAGAAGCTGGGCATTCTGAGTTCAGCACGGCAGCAGCATCGTAGCTATCCATGCGTGGAACCAACCAGCGGTCCGGTCTGGCCCGAGACAAACCAGAGGCACATACTTTAGGAAATCTGGGGCGTGAATCTAGGGATTGACCTTGGGGAATGAAGCCACAAGAAGCTGTCCACGGCATACTCCAGCACTGCAGAATTTCTGGCGCAGTGCCATGGAAACACGCCACACCCAAGCCTCAGGGGAATGTCCACCTGAGAGATGGTTTTGGATGCTTGCCGTTTGCAGCTGCAGTGCTGAGTAGGGATCCTGACTGCTGGTGCCGCTCTTCACATCGAAACCGAAGCTGCAAAATCATCTCATAACCCATGCAAAAGGGGTTTCAAAACTAGGCTCGGGGTAGATCCGAGCCGAAACCCCGTGCAGGGCGTACGGGTGCAGTTGCTTGTGTCATCTATGAAGGTAGCTATACCACTGTGGCCCTGTGTCTGTCTTCACCAGATCCTCCAAGTAAACCGTCTAGAGACCCCATTACAAGCCCCCATCTACGACCGATACAGCAAGCCCTCCCTAAAATCATGTCCGAACAACCCATTCAAAGATTCAACAGATCACGAAACCTACCCAAACCCTAAACCCTAAACCCTATGCCATATATATATACCCTATATACCCTAAACCCTAAACCCTAGACCCTAAACCCAAATTTGGAGTCCCATGGGCAAGAATCGAGCCGTTTCGAGAGGATTTCAGCAGAGCCGGCCTCGAGCTCGCTCTTCTCACGCCAGACTTTGAGATGAACGGACTCGTATCCTGCTGAGGCTTCAAAAGACGAACTGTAACTTCTCGAGGTTTTATGAGGTTTTGACTGGGGCTTAAGGATTCAATTCCTTGGGGTTCTGGCTCTTGGTGCTGGGACTTGGGGTTGAGGGATGTTGCAACCCACAGCAACATCCACGGGCCAGACCTGAGCAAGCAAATCAACGGGCAACCACGGTGCAGTCCGGCGCTGCGCTTCGTGACCATGTGCAAGAAGTGGATTCGCTCCTTACCCGGTCTGAAGCCATTGTGAACTGGTGCGCATGTCTCCAGAGAGCACCCCGCGTTGTCTCGCAAAGGAACGGTACCGTCCTTGCAGGAGATTGCTAAGGCGGAGCGCAACAACAGCCTGCATCGGCAGTCCTGGCTAATTTCGACACCATCAATCTCCAGGAGCACATCATCTTCCTTCCATGGGAAAGGTACAAGATGCTGCGTCTGCAATTGGAGGCTGAGCAAACTTCCAAACCTCTACTTCTAGCTTCAATGGCACACTTCGACGACAGAGGATTCGGCCAGCTTGGCTGCCTTCATGCAAGTCATTGCAAGTCCAGGTATCCCCCAAGGCCTGCAGCTTTCCAGATGATGATCCAAGTGGCGCTACCTCCACAACGCTTAACAGAACGAGCGTCACGCAAAGAGTTAAACTGTAATTGAAAGGAGAGCAAGCCGAAAGAACCATAAGATCATGTGAAGGTCCGCAACATGAACGCATTCCGTCTGTGAATCATGGACCTTCGCCACGCGGACACCGGCGGTGCAGCCCTGGCTGCGAACGGGACGAGTCGTAGGTGCACAAAGGCAGCTAGTTGGCAAGAACTAGATGCAGGTGCCTAAACCCTAAACCCTGAACCCTAAACCCTAAACCCCAAACCCTAAGTGTCTCTAACAGGTCGTTTTCTCTTCCAGACCCTCGAATGCTCCGCAGTCCAAGGCCAGGGCACAGGCAAGATGCTGAAACGCTAAGATTGACGCTTCTCAAGTTGGGGTTTAGGGTTTAGGGTTCTCAAGAAACTCTGCTTCACCACGATCAGAATGGCTGCAAGAGCATGAGACGAACCCTCAAGGTCTGTACAGTCAATCCACTGCGCCAGCCCTATAGGAATTAACACTGGTGAGCATCTCCGGAGAGATGTCAGCAGCCGGGGGGACCATTGCAAAAGCACGGCCAGAAGCGCTTATTCTTGCCATCATAGAGTGCTTTTGGTACTTCTCTGCTCGGCCACCCCTGGTCAGGAGCCTCCAAGGCATCAGCCATCAGAGATGTTCAGGAGGTTCAAAGCAAACCCCATGACGGTCCCTCCGTCGGTGCACGATAGGTGCAAGGATGGGCATTCAAGATGCGAGGCTTCGGCTTAGCTGTCGGCTTACCTGTTAAGATCCTATGGTGTGCCATCTTGAATGGCGGGAGAAGCTGCTGCAAGAGCTGCTTTTGACGCCTATGCAGAAAAGCCAGAAAAGAGGATGCACCTTCAGAGCCCGTAAGACACTCACATCCGAGATAGACTTTAGAGACCACTGCGTCAGAAGGTGTGTCCTTTTTCTACGGCAATGCTGTGATGGCCTTGCAAGCTGCGGCACACAGGGCGCAGCACAGCAAGCTGGGCTTGTGCTTGGACAAGCTCAAAGGTCAACCAGCCATGCCGTCAAACTGCAAATTCACCTGCAATCTATAAGCCTCCTTGATGAGGTTGACGTCACATCTCGATAAGGGTACGTAGTACACAGTTGTAGCATCAGCTGACAAGAGTTCCGGGCCACAAGGGCATAAAACCAACGAACTGATGCGGCTTCAACCTCTTGAAACAGCTCGATCTGTGCGACTGGACCCTCGAAGTGCTCGACAAACGCAGTCAGGACTGAAAGCATGGAAAGTTCTGCTGGGATGTGTGCTCGCCCCAATGACGCAAATGATCATGAAGTAGAACATGGGAGTGTTAGCAATTGTAGGATAAACTGTTTGTCATCAACCGTCTCCAGTAGCCTCCGAAGCTTGGTACCGCGAAGAGATGCACGCTTGAACAGGGTAAAGCTTGAACAATGAGCACCTAGGGGCTCTGAAGGTGCAAGAATCTGCACCAGGTAGTTGGAACTGCTCTTGCTTCTAGATGTTTGGAGTTTGGAGATTGTTAGATTGATCGCATGGTACGGGTGCTATTTTTCGGATTCGACTGTTCTGCATCGGCCCTTGATCTCAGTGCTTGACTACTTACTTAAACTTACAGGGTGACCAGCCCGACCGCGTTGCAATTCACAATTAAGCTCGCGCAAGCGAGAAGGATTGAGGCAGCAAGCATGTCGTTCGCATCGCGAAGGCAGCAAGGCCTTGAGAGGATTCGTAGCCTCTACACGGCTTGAAGCCGCTCACTTCTCTTAGCCGGGTTTCTCGCTTCCTCACGTGGCCGCAATCATTTTCCCCCTTTCTCTCGGGCTCTTTTTGATCTCACGTGATTCTGTCTCTCTCGGATTGCTTTCACCTAAGTTCTTCTTCGCCAGCCAAGAAAGCTGCTATCCGCACCCAGCACACAAGTGACACAGCAGGCTTGAATGGAGCGGCCTTCCTTCCATGGGATGAGCAAAGTCTGGCATGACCCATTCCCTGACCCAAACTTCTAGTGTTCATGCCCACGACAACCCGTTTTGTAGCACTCCACACTCTTGTAAGCATTCGGCTTGACCGCAAAACCAAGTTACACAAATCACAGCTTGAACAACAAGCCATTCGATCACGCGCACTGGTCCCCTCCCTCTCTCTTTCTCTCTCTTGCTTGCTTGCTTGCACGGCGTTTGGGCGCAGGAGATCGGTCCCCAGGGGACACCTTTTCTCTCTCTCTCGCTCTCTTTTTCCGCCGGGTCTAAGGGGCGAGTAAGGCCCCCCGGCCCATAGGGCCCCCCAGGTTTTTGTGGGGTTTTCTCTCTCTCTCTCTCTCTTTCTTTCGTTAGGGTTAGGGACTAGGGGGTATCCCCCCTAGCCCGCGCGCCGTCGGCGCCCCCAACTTGTGGGTGGGCGTATTTGGGAAAAGCTCTCGCAACACCAAGGCTGATTTAACCTGTGCCACGGTTCGCACACTCAAACAGGGGAAGTTCTGCAGAAAGCCAAGGGCACACAAGGGGATTCCCCTGCTTGAGTGGCAAGGAACAGATCTGCGGCTTCGAATTGAGATGCCTCGAGCGGAGGCTGGATCGAATGGGGTTGGCACCAGCGGCCCGTCTTTATGGTACACGGGGGAATTTCTCCCCAAAGTCACATCTTAGCGTAGGGAAAGAAAAGTCAGCGAGGAGGCGAGTTTAGGCTATCAAACATGCAAGCCACAGCACTTACAAAAATGCCAGCACTTTTTCGCTGAGTCAAAATGGGGTTCTCCCCCTTTCCACGCTGTACAGGGACATTCCCCTCTCACAGGCTCAGAAATTGTACCTCATGACCACGAGGAGGATCTTCTTCTCGGCAGGGGTGAGCGCTCTCGCCGGGGTGGTTCACGATCCCCGGGCGGTCCGGCACTTCCGGAGCGGG